ACGAGCGCCAGTCCGTCAGCGAGGGGCTCTCCCAGCTGGCCAGAGCTGGGTCCCAGTCTATCAGAGAGGTCCCATCGAGGTTCTAGGACCTGCACTCTGGCCAAGTGCGGCTGTGAAGTGTTCGATGACTCTCCAGCCCGGGCTACCCACACCCATTCGCCCTGGAAGAGGCCAAGGCCACGGAGACACCTCCGGCTCACCCCCAGTGAATCTCCAGTCCCTCCCACAACTCCCTGGAGTCGCCGGACTGTGCCAGAAACCGCAAAGGAGGACACCACGGGCGGGGGTGGGGGCTGACTGGTGTCCCCAGACTCTGGGCACAGTCTGGCCCGCCCGCGGAGCTCAGTCACAGCCAGCCGAGTTCCTGGGCCTAGCAGCCCTTGCAACACGGGCCGCGTCTCCAGCACCCGAGGTCCGGGCACTGGCAGAGTCTCTCCGCGCCTCACCAGCAGCGGCCCGACTCGCGGTCCGAGTCCAGGCCCCAGCGAGGTGCCAAGCAGTGCCCAGCCTAGCGCCGGGGGCCGCCGCACCGGCCGCGCCCGCACCCAGGCCCCAGAGCCCAGTGCCAGGAGCCGCAACAGCGCGCGGCTAACCAGTAGCTGCGGGGGCCCGGGCCCCTGCTCTTCGGTGCCCGCGCCCGGCCCCTCCAGGGCTGCCACCAGCAGCGCCGGCCCTGCCGGGCTCTCCCCTGCAGGCCGCAGGGCCAACACCAGTCCCAGCCCAGCCGCCGGCCACGGGCCCCCGGGCGGCAGCAGCACTGCCATCGGAGGTGTCTCGGTCGGAAAGGGCTCCAGGACCCGCAAGACAGCCAGCGCCATAGTGACAGGGGACCAACGAGGAGGGTGACGGAGCGCGGCTTCCGGAGCCAGCGAGCCAGACGACTTGGCTGCGCGAGCGCCGCTTCCGCTTCCGTCAGGGGAGACCGTAGGAAAAGGGGAGGGGCGTCCGGTGCCGCGAGCTTGCTCTGGGAGGGTTCGCCGCGCCTCAGATTGATGTCCCTCGTGCCTCGACGGCTGTAACCTTCATCACTGCGGGTGCTTAGCGTTTACGCATGCGCCCTTTGAACCTGTGCTTACAGGGATTTATCTTTGCCTTCTAGGGGAGTAATGTCCTCTCAGCTATCTTGCTCCATAGCGTGTACGTAAGAGTTTATTGACTGATGAATGGTCAGCCTACCGGGGATGACTGGGCCCAGTGCTGGGAGCTCTAGGTGAAATGTTTAGGAAGGAGTCCGCTCTTCTGCGGAACTCCTACAGTTTCCCCTCTGGAACTGTGAGCTTTGAGGGTTGCAGGAAAGATTGCAGGAGGGAGTAGCAGGATTAGAAAACGGTCTCACCCTTGCTTCTAGGTATATAGTGGCTGCTGAGTGAATTACTAGATGTGATTCATACAGCCCTGAAGTGCTTGGTGCCGCCATACATGTTCCAGCATATCTTGCACAAACCCATGTTCCAGCACTTTTTGCCCTGTTCATTGTTCGGTTTGTTTTACTCCCACCAAATTTGAGTTGAAGACAAAGCAGCTTCCTTTTTTCACCCCTCAAATCCTTGCAGACTGGAAACCCATTCACTTTCTATCCTAGAGAGGGGCAGGTAGCAGAGCAGGCAGAAGGAAAGGAGTTCAAGGCTTCTGTGAACATGGCACCAACAGTCGACTTCCTGCCTGTGCTGTTACTTAGATTCCAACCTTGTCTTCATCTCCACTGTTCTGTATAAGCCACTCAGCTAGTGGTAAATCCATATTTCCTTTTTTTTTTTTTTTTTTTGGAGACAGGGTCCTACTCTGTCACCCAGGTTGAAGTGTAGTGGCACAATCACGGTTCACTGCCTCCACATTCCAGGCTCAAGTGATCTACCTCAGCCTCCCGAGTAGCTGTAGCTGGGACCACAGGCACATGCCACCATGCCCAACTAATTTTTAGTTTTTGAGATGGAGTTTCTGTCTTGTTGCCCAGGCTGGAGTGCAATGGTGCCATCTCAGCTCACTGCAATCTCTGCTTCCCAGATTCAAAGATTCCCCTGCCTCAGCCTCCCAAGTAGCTGAGATAACAGACGTGTGCCACCACACCCAGCTAACTTTGTATTTTTAGTAGAGACTGGGCTTCACCATGTTGGTCAGGCTGGTCTCCAACTCCTGGGCTCAAGTGATCCACCTGCCTAAGCCTCCCAAAGTGCTGGGATTACAGGCATGAGCCACTGAGCCTCGCCTAATTTTTTATTTATTTATTTATTTATTTTTATTTTTTATTTTTTTCTTTTGGACGGAGTTTCGCTCTCGTTACCCAGGCTGGAGTGCAATGGCGTGATCTCGGCTCACCGCAACCTCCGCCTCCTGGGTTCAGGCAATTCTCCTGCCTCAGCCTCCTGAGTAGCTGGGATTACAGGCACGCACCACCATGCCCAGCTAATTTTTTTGTATTTTTAGTAGAGACGGGGTTTCACCATGTTGACCAGGATGGTCTCGATCTCTTGACCTCGTGATCCACCCGCCTCGGCCTCCCAAAGTGCTGGGATTACAGGCTTGAGCCACCGCGCCCGGCCCATTTTTTGTATTTTTTGTAGAGACGGGGTTTCACCATGTTGACCAGGATGGTCTCGATCTCTTGACCTTGTGATCCACCTGCCTCGGCCTCCCAAAGTGCTGGGATTACAGGCTTGAGCCACCACGCCCGGCCAATTTTTCATTTTTTATAGGGACAGAGTTTCTCTGTGTTGCCCAAGCTGGTCTCGAACTCCTAGTCTGAAGAGAATCTCAGGCCTCAGCCTCCAAAAGTGCTGGGATTACCGGCATGAGCTATCATGTCCTTTCTTTTTTTTAATTTTTTAACTTTTTTTGAGATGGACTCTTACTCTGTCACCCAGGCTAGAGTGCAGTGGTGCAATCTCAGCTCACTGCAACCCCCAACTCCTGGGTTCAAGCAGTTCTCTTGTCTCTGCCTCCCAAGTAGATAGGACTACAGGTGCACACCACCACACCTGGCTAATTTTTGTATTTTTTAGTAGAAATGAGGTTTCATGTGAGCCAGGTGGTCTCGATCTCCTGACCTTGTGATTTGCTTGCCTCAGCCTCCCAAAATGTAGGGATTACAGGCATGAGCCACTGCGCCCAGCCTCTTTTTTTTTTTTTTTTTTTTTTTTTTTTTTCTGAGAAGAAGTTTCACTCTTCTTGCCCAGGCTAGAGTGCAATGGCCCTGTCGCGGCTTACCTCAACTTCCGCCTCCTGGGTTCAAGCAATTCTCCAGCCTCAGCCTCCTGAGTAGCTGGGATTACAGGTGCCTGCCACCACACCTAGCTAATTTTTTGTATTTTTAGTAGAGACAGGGTTTCACTATGTTGGTCAGGCTGGTCTCCGACTCCTGACCTCAGATGATCCACCTGTCTCAGCCTCCCAAAGCGCTGTGATTACAGGCATGAGCCACCGTGCCTGGCTGAGGCAGCCTTCTTTTTGTATGTTATACATTCCTGAAAATTTAAAAGACAAATATATGAAAACTATTAGATTTACACGTTATAAGGGGCTGGGTGCAGTGGCTCATGCCTGTAATCCCAGCACTTTGGGAGGCCAAGGTGGGTGGACTGCTTGAGGCCAGGAGTTTGAGACCAGCCTGGCCAACATGAAGAAACCCCCTCTCTACTAAAAATAAAAAAATAAAATAAAAATAGCCAGGTGTGGTGGCAGGCACCTGTAATTCCAGCTACTCGGGAGGCTGAAGCAGGAGAATCGCTTAAGCCCAGGACTTGGAGGTTGCAGTGAGCCGAGATAGCGCCACTGCACTCCAGCCTGGGCCTGGAACGAGACTCTGTCTCAAAAAAATATTTCAAAAGGCCGGCGTGGCTGGACGAGCGGGGAGCCAGGAGCTGGGGCACTGCTGTAGGAGACGCAGAGAGGCCCCATCTCTGGCTGCTAGACCATGCTGAGTTGAGCACGCAGCAGGCTCGCCTCAGCGCTGTGGAGAACACGCGCGCCACTGTCCGCGGTCGCCCATAGTGCCGGCAAGCGTAAGGGTCTCGGCCTTTGGCCAACCGGAACAAGAGGACAGAGGAGACACCCCGTACCTTGGATCCAGCGCTGTTGGAGTTCCTGGTGTTCCCGCTCTCCAGGAAGCCACTCATATGAAGCATCAACAAATGAATTGATTAATGAAGAATTCACTGGGCACGGTGACTTACGCCTGTAATCCCTGTACTTTGGGAGGCTGAGGCTGGCAGATCACCTGAGGTCAGGAGTTCGAGACCAGCCTGCCCAACATGGCAAAACCCCGTCTCTACTGTGGCTCAAGCCTGTAATCCCAGCACTTTGGGAGGCCGAGGTGGGTGGATCACGAGGTCAAGAGATCGAGACCATCCTGGTCAACACGGTGAAACCCCGTCTCTACTAAAAATACAAAAAATTAGCTGGGCATGGTGGTGTGTGCCTGTAATCCCAGCTACTCAGGAGGCTGAGGCAGGAGAATTGCCTGAACCCAGGAGGCGGAGGTTGCGGTGAGCCGAGATCGTGCCATTGCACTCCAGCCTGGGTAACAAGAGTGAAACTCCGTCTCAAA